CTTAAGGGGTTGTTCAGTGCCCTAAGCATGAATATCGTTTTTTTTTTTCAAATAACGCCGGTTTGGGTTACCGTGGGTATGCGATATATGGAGGTCGAAGCAATTTGCTAAACTTTCTTTAAAATGTTTTCAAGCATGCTGGTTACAAATTTCCATCATGCTTGCTCGCTGCAATAACGCCACTGTTGGACTTACGGTAATTTGCAGCGTGAAGAATAGATATTTTTCCTCATTGAGCCAATTTAGACCATAAGACTTCACAAGGCTTTATCATGCGAAATAAGCAAGTCAGGTAAACCCCTCTGCACAACCTCAGGCAGATCCATGATTTGAACTTCCCACCGTACCCTTATCGTAACTCCCGAGGTCCCAAACCGCAAGGAGAATATGATATTCGTGATCAGCATGCGGACTAACCGCTCTAGACCGAATTCCTTTTGGATTTGAGATTTTGCCCCCCCCCCTACCGTAAGCCTACCGTTTCACGAAAAGGCCCGAAAATCCTAATCTGCATGTGACCCCTCGGAGCAAAGTTTCAGTGAACTGCATGAATTTGCGTTTTTGGGATCGCTAGGACTTTTTTGACTATCATTAACAAATCTATAGACCGTTAGAATTTCCCTTATAACTGAACCGCATTCTAGTACAAGGGTCAGTACGACGAGAGCAAGCCTAAGAAGGCACCGAAACAGAAAAGCGTGCACGTTCAGTGGTCGGCTACGTTGCGGAGATCTGTCGTCGCAGGGGATGATGAAACGACAATCAAATTGCTGTAAGTTCACAGACTTGCATAGTCTTCGTTTGTGCAGAAAATAAAATGATTTTAGAGATTATGAGAAAGAACCTAAGAATGAGCGTGAACCTTTGTTGAGATTAGAAACTATGGATGAAAGTCCTGAAGTGAAGCCGGCTAGAGTTGGCAGCCACAAGCATGCACACAATAAGGAAGTAACACGAAAGGTATTTTACAAATTATAGGCTTTCATTCCGTGCTCTAATCTTCATTCAGCGATCGGATCTTCATTCTCACTCTGTTGATCAGCCGTCCACTTCAAAAACACCAGCACCGCCTACAACGCCAACAGCGCGGCCATCTAAACCCACACTGGAAAAGCAGTTTTCGCGAGAAAGTCATCGAAGGGGTAGCACTTCTTCGACGAGTCCCCACAGACGAAAAGATTCTCAGACGAGCGTCGGCGCCGTTGAAAGGTGGGAAATCAAACATGACCGTGCGCGATTGCAGTCATCGTTACCCAGTGTCACGAAATGTAAGCAAGTATAGCAGTACAGCAAGGGTCTTTGTTCTTTTTAAACCAACGAGCTCTATCCAAAGTCAATTGTTTGCTATACTTCATATGCACACTTCAGGACCTCCTCGACTACATGACATCTATTCAGGCGAAGAACATCTTCGAGCCCGCGAGCTTCGCTCAAAAAGCAAAAGAGCGTTGATGTACAGGAAACGCAAGCGGCTTCGCTCAAAAAGCAAAAGAGCATTGATGTACAGGAAACGCAAGCGGCTGCTATTCAGAGGAACAGATCATCTCAAGATTCTCGAAGGTGAGTGCGCACTGGCCACTAAAGTCGTTTAGAGCTGCAGCGGTGTCGCATAAGAGACTGGATCAATCAAAAGACTGCATCACACTCAAAAACTACCTACAAGTTTTTTTACAGGTCAGAATCAAAGTTCAAACTTGACCAACTTTCAGATCCGCTGAAGGAGCACCCGACCATCGCCGCAGTTCTACTACATCAAATCAACGGCACCAGACTGTCGCGCAACCACAACCACAGCCTAATGCTGCAGAAAGTAAGCTACAACACTTGATATTGATATACAAAAATTATTTCATTTTCAGAACGTAGCGAAGTTCCACACATCAAACGGGTATCAATTTCTGCAACACATCTATGATCTA